CACTTTTCACATGAACCTGTATGACTATCTGTTCTTGACTCTGTGTCTTCAAACGTTGTGTATTGGCGCCAAAATCAACGAGCAAAAAGGCAGGGCCTCGTGGATGGCCGGGTGTACGAGGATGGCCCGTGCCGGCCAGGGCGGGCTGTTGCACGGGTGGTGCTGTGTACGTCTGGTTGCACGGGGCCCCTGCCACCCTTGCCGCCAATGATGCACGGGCTGCAATGCCACCCACTGGCGCCACACTCCGCGAGCCTCTCGCACGATTCTCCGCCCCGCGCCGCCGCTGCCCGGCCCCTTGCCCTCTCGTTTTCAGGTCTCGAGGGCGCTGGACGCGGCGGGCGTGAGGGACCGCGTATACCTGCTAGTCTGCAACGCCAGTGACGACGGCGTCGACTGGGCGGCACTCTGTCAATATCTAGTACCAATGGACGACAAACGTGTCCGCTGGCAAGCCTCTTTTCAGCGGGTTTTTGGGGTTATGAGCCAAACTTGACCAAATCTGAATTTGCCCCGGGGCACCGCTGCTTGTCAACGGTGGAGGGGGGGGTCAAAGTGGGCACGGGCAAGCCGCATATCGTTTTTCACGAGCGGCCCTCCGCGCGTGAGCCGCCTGCTGGCTGATTTACGGGGGTTCCAAGGATGATGATCAGAGGCGGCGCCCATGTGTGGAAGGCTGAGGGAATTTTCGTATCCATTTAAACGAGTGGATCGACCCCTGCGACCGCCGCCACGAGCCTGGGGCCTTCACCCTTGGGACATCTGTCCCTCGAGTGAAAGTGACCGCCACAATGCTCCTTCACAGCTGGGCTCACTCGGCCCACAAGCATGCCCTATCATCACCAAGCCCTACCGTCACTAAGCCTTTGCGCCGCATCACCACTCATACCAACCGCAACCGCAACAAAACCCCCGAAACCTCTTGAACGCTAAACAGGATGAACGGCAAGGCCGCCAACGCGCTGGTCAGCGAGTTCCTGCCCGACTTTATGCAGCGCCGCAGGGGGACCGTCATGTGCATCTAAAGACCAGACCAGCCACTGGCTGGTCAGTGGCATTGAAGGGACTGCACCTCCTCCGAGAGCGCACTCAGACAAGACAGCAGCCACCTTGATACCGCCGATATGCACTCTGGCAGGGCTCCAAAAAATGCTAACGGCAGCACGACCTACAGCCAGCCTGCTGGCTAGGGCAGAGTACGAGGCTTGCTTCGCCGCCAATGAGTGATGTGGATGAGGTTCCGGAGGCCGGCTTTTCATCGCGCATGCTACAGTACCACTTTTGCCACACATCCCGACAGCGGAACCACCTACCACCAACACGCGCAGGCACTCGTGCGTGTGCGCTGCCGCTCCTCCCCCGATTTCGCGGCATCGCCCACCCTGCACTACAACATCCCCGCCCATTTCCTGCATTGCGACGGCGTTGGCCTTGACAAGATGGCTGCGCGAGCTCTGCTTGATTGCCCTGCATACGCAAATCCCCGATTTGCGCCTGAATTTGCAAGCCTGTCCAACACAAGCCCATATGCACGTCTTTGTGAGCAGTGCAGACCAACATGCGCTTGGGGCTCGTGCACGCCTGCTTTGTTCGGCGCACAGTTGCAACCCAAATCTCAGTCGCACAACCTTGACGCTTCAAAGTCCCATGAGCCTGGTGGCTCCAGAAGCGGGCGACAGCAGGACGCTGTAACAATTCAAATCCTATGCCTGATCTTGTTGTGCAAAAAATAGACACTCTAGAGCAGATCATGGCAGCTGATTGAGCAGCTGTACCAGAGGCAAGGGCAAGCGCCCCCGCGTTATTTGCTCCGACATGCAATACGTGCACAAGCGGGGAGGTACAGTGGTCAAAGCTTGGAATTTCAATACTATGTGATATATGCTGAATACTGATGTATATGCGATGGCAGCTACTTGATATGTCCCAGCCACACGCACGCCTCCTGCCAGAGAACAGCTCTTAGAGCATGCCGCCCCTTGCAGAAACCGCCGTCGCCCTATGTGCAGGATCGCATCACCAGCAGACACAAACGTGGACCCCCCACTTCCCAAACCAAAATGCATGGGTGGCTTGCTAATCAAAGGTGCCGACGCAGGTCGAACGTGGCGTGCCTGGGACAGCGTAAAGGTCAGACCATCAACACAACCCCTGAAATTTCCAGGCCCTGCTTTGATGTCGGGGCGACGCGCGGCGCCAGCGAAGGCGGCCGGCCACTGGAAGCCGCCCGCCGGCGCGGCGGCAGCGCGGCGGCGACAGAGGAGGCAAGCAGGAGGAGGAGTAGGGGGCGCGGCGGCGGCACCGACGACGGCGAAAGCGGGCCCATGTGGCGCCCCTCTGGACCGCGCCAGCTTGGGGGGCAGTCGGCGGTGGTGCCTTGGTCAACGTCAGAAGCAGCACCAGCAGCTGTGTGTCGCTGCTGCAGGCGTTGGATACTGGGGACTAGACTGCGATTGCGCAGCGCTCAGACGTCCTAGTTGATGTTTGAATGCCTTTACAGGCGAAGGGAGGGTCGCAGACGTGACCAGACGCAGAACAGGCACTGGAGATCACAATCGATGGTAGATAGCGCGGCGAAGTATTGCTGCCAAACACGCTTGTGAAACTTTGATCCCAGACATCACGGCTAGATCTAGTCGGCATTTTGACACACCGCGGTTACACGCGCCGTAGTACTCTCTGGCCCATCGATATCTGGGAGCTGCTACTGCCCCCCGAGAATCGACAGCGCAGTATCAGCCTCAAATTCTGCTGCTGCCGCACCAGGTGTGCCATCGCCCACGGCGCGTCGCGCCGGCGACAATGCGGCGCTGTTGCGTGAGCATCCTGCTGCTGCTGCATGCTTGCCAGCATCAGCAGAATCAAGCTCAGCGATTGTGCTTTGTGCCTGCGGCAAGCCCAGCGGGGTAGATGCAGGTGCGGCCGTGCCACAGCCTGCAACTGACCCAACCTCCGGACCCCCTCCACGGCGCCCAACCCCCATGGCAGCGCCTAGAACCATCCTCGACCCGCCGAGCCGCCGCGCCTCCCGGGCTACCACCCACCTGAACCTGTGATTTCCGCGCGATGGCTGGTGCTCGAAGGGCCCACGACGCTTTGGCAATACTTGGCGCCGCGACAGCAGGGTGAGGCAACGTGAGGTTGGGCAAAACCAGGCAAACGCGTGCAGCATGGGAAAAGGCGGCAAAAGTTTGGTCAGAAAACGTGACGATTATATCATGCGCTAGCAGTGTCATCAGGTTTCCACAAATCCAAGCTGCAGCTGCGATTTGACCATGCCGCCTCCTCAAAACCCGCCCCGCTCCGCCGAACGCGCCCCGACTTTGATCTGCGCATGCAATGCGAACGCCCCGGGTATGCTCGTGGTTGATGCCGCAGCTATGTCGCGTTCAAAGCCATCAAGACCGTGTCTTGGTGGAGCTATGTGAGGTTCGGCCCAGTTCTGGCGGACAGGTACAAAGGTGCGCGCGTGTGTGTGTGAGCGCGCCGCGTGCGCGCGTGGGTTTGTGTGTGTGTGTGTGTGTGTGTGTGTGTGTGTGTGTGTGTGTGTGTGTGTGTGTGTGCGCGTGAGCGCACGTGCAAGCACGTGCGCGCGCGTGAGCGTGTGCGTGCGTGCATGCGTGTGTGTTGTGCAGCTCAGAGTTTGCACCTTCTAGGCATCACCGCCTCGCAATCCTGCCCCCAAAACATCATCCTTTTGTCACCCTCACCAACAGGTGACTACGCCGTCGTCACCGGCGCGTCAGAGGGCGTCGGCCTGGGGATCTCGTCGGCTCTCGCAGCCCGCGGCGTCAACCTCGTGCTCGTCTCGCGGTCCGAGGTTAAGCTCACACAGGCGGCGGACCACGTCAGGTCCAAGGCGCCGGGGGTGGACGTGCTGACTGTGGCCGTAGACGTGACCGCTGACGGCGCGGCAAAGAAGGTAACAACACATCCGCCCTCTCGATTCGGATTCGAGATTTTTCTTGTTCACTTTTCCTGGTTCTGGGCCCTGAGCATGTGTCACTCAGCACCGCCCAACGGCAGCACGCCCAGCGCCACCTGCACGAGCATGCATGGGGCGGGAGCTCCTGTACAAGTGGCGCCAGTTCTGTATGAAAATCGCAGGGCCCCTGCCGCCCTTGCATCTGACCATCCACGGGCCAGCGGCCGTGACGCCCAGCCGCGCCCGATTCCGCAAGCCCGCCAACCCACCCCTACCTGCCCCGCCCGTGCGCTGCCCTCGCCCCCTGGGGCCGCGTTTTCAGGTCTCGGCGGCTCTGGACGCGGCGGGTGTCAGGGGCCGCGTGTCACTGCTGGTCTGCAACGCCGGCGGCGGCGTCGACAGGGCGGCGCGCTACCAAGAGTACGCAGCGGAGGAGGACGAACGCGTCCGCAGGCGAGCCCTCTGTTTGCGTTGTGCTCTTTGGGGTGTCTTACACCGGTTTCAGAGTAGTTTGAAAAGAGGCCAGGTGGGGCAGCGCCCTGGCTCGGGGTGAGGAAGGGGATCTTTCAAGCAGGCACCGGCACGCGCGCCTCAGTCCACGGCTGAGGAGCGCGAGCGGGTCCCATGCGTCAGCCTCCTGCGAGTAATTCTGAGGGGTCGGTTCATCCACGGCTTGTATCGCGGCGCCCATGTAGGAGTCGACGGATTTTTTTACATCCATGCGGACTGGGTGCAGGGCGCGCATGACTGGATCCCTCCGCCGACCTGGCCACTCTGCCTTGATGCAGTGGTCGGCATCCCCCCCCCCCCCCCCGAACGCGAGTCATGGCCGCACTTGTCCTCTGCGCCTGGGCTCACCCTCTCACAGCGGCACACGAGCATGCCCTGCATCCACCAAAGCCCTCCGCCACACCACCACTAACAACGATAACAACAGCAGCAAAACCCATGAAACCCCTAAACCCTGAACAGGCTCAACGGCGACGCCACGTATGCGTTGGTCAAAGAGTTTCTCCCTGAATTCGTCGAGCGCCGCAGGGGGTTCATCCTCTGCATATCAAGCCTTGCCACAAAGATGCCTTTTGGTGGGTCGACCCTGCCAGCCAGCCGGCCGGCCGGCCGCAGAAATGCGCGGATGGCAAGCATCTGAGTGTTCTGACCCCCGCTTCCAAATTGTGGCCGCCGGCGCCTGCCCGCAGGCGCCGAGGCGGGCGGCGGCAAAGCCCGGCCGCCCTGCGCCGCCTCCCCATTCCCCAGCACGGTCGCTGCCGCCCGCTGATGCCGCACGGCAGCAGCCGCTTATCAGCGCGCCGGCGGCCGCTCCTCGGGCCCTGGCGGCTCATGACGCCCTTCCCATTCGCCTACCCAATCCTTTGTGCAGCTTCAGCCTTCAGATCATCGCAGAACACCCTAAGCTCCACAACAAACATCACGTTGACAACCCAACTCAACCGTCTCCCTTGCGCTGGTGGTTACCCCCCCCCTTGTGCCACATCAGCGCGCCTGTCAAACTACTACCTGGAGAAGGCCAAGGTCAACGCCCTGGCCACCGTGCTCATGGTGGGCGCACTGCATGCCTTGGGTGCAGGGTTTAGGCCATATCAGATGCGGCAGACCGCCCGCTCAGCCAGCCTCTGGCAATCAGCAGCTCTAAAGATATTGAGGGCAGCGCCCGCATCAAAGCGCCGGGCGCCGCGAAAGCGGCCAAGCGCCACGCCGCGGCCGGGGCCGCAGCAAGGCGCCGAGGGCTCCCGCCGGGCGGCTCTCGAGGGCAGCAGGAAGCGGAACGGCCGCAGGGCGCAGGTGCTGCTCCCTGCTCAGCCGGCCGCTTTCCCCACATCCGCCCTCCAGGCCTTGCCACGTCTTCGCGCCCGCGCACCGGCACCATGACCGCTTGCTGTTGTCAACAATCAATAGCCAAAATCACGATTCACCACACTCCAATCGTTCATTTCCTCAGGCTGAGCAGGACGCCTTTGGCACGGGCGTCGGCGCCCAGGCACACACCCTCGGCGCCGTCGTCACCCCCGGCCTCGCCGCCATGCTCGCGCCCGCCGCCGCGGCCGCCGCGGCCGCCACGGGGGTGAAGCGGGTCGGCTGGGAGGCAGAGGCGGTGCGGCCGACGCTGGGCATGCCGTCGGCGGCGGCGTGCGGCGAGTGGATCGTCAGGGCGATGGGTAAGGGGGGCGACGCCGTCATCTCGCCGTACCCGGTGCACGCGATTATGGCGGAGGGGGTGATGGACTCTCTGCTTGCGATCAGGTGAGATGAGGTATGGTTTGGGGGGTGGGAGGTTGGCGGCGCAGTTCGGAGAGGGTTTTTGGGGGGGAGGGGGGGACAGGCGGCGTGCGATTGGGTGGAGGTTGGGGGTGCTTCCAGATGAACGGGCCCTGGCTTAAGTTTTGGGGGGGGGGGCTGCAGCAGGTGATTGTGGAGGATGCAAATGTTGCGTTCGAGCTCGCACTGGCGTTGCATGGGCGGCGCCGCCGCGCGCCTGTGCGCACTGGTATTTGGCCGCGCAGCTGCCGGCGGCGCTGGTGGATCTGATCTGATCTGCACGCCTTCTGCTGTCAGATCAGGCAGCCGCCCCCAGCGCTTTCAATTGATTTGCGCCTATACCTCGCAAAACGCATCGTGTAATTGGGATATGCAGTTGCGACACAGCCTCACATGGCCGCGCTCAACTGCCGCGCCCACTCACCCAAGCGCCCCGTCAACCCCCCGACCCGCCCCTCCTGTCATGGCCCTGCCGCCTGGCTGCACACAGGTGGCCGGCATGGCTCCGGCGCTCCATCGCCGCGCGGCTCAGCAGGTCGTTCACCCTGGGAGACAGCTCATGATGCGACATGCGATCTGGCTCATGGGCCTGCGGCCGGCCGGGCGCGGCGCGGCGGCGGCACGTGCATGTGTGCGGCCGGCGGGCGGGGCGGCGCGGCTGACGCCCGTCCCGGGCTACGGACGGCGCGGCGCTGCTTCACTCGCGTATTGCAGGGTGCAATGCGCTGTATATTAGGGCATGTACATGCATGTGTATTCGAGTGGGCTCGGCCACGGCTTGCGGCTTCTTGGCGCCTTGTGTGCAGGGAATGGACCTGGCGACTCATGGGGCCGAGGACGGCGCTCACAGCGCGTCGGCGGCACCCGCCGATCATGACCAATGCCTGGTCGAGGCCTTTTCAGGATTGTACCCTTAATTGCTATCGTTTGCATATCGCATACGCTTCCCACCGTTGTCACGATCGAGTAGACCGCGACGACCCACCACTCCGTAACTCTCAAAACTCCGATCCAAGATGCTCAACCACCGCCAGCAGGCCATCGGGGCCAAGTCCCGCGCTTTCACTGCGGGCAACAAGCCGCCGGTGCCGCGGGGCCGCCGCGCCGCTGTGACGTGCCGCGCGGGCCCGCAGGACGCCGCGCGCTCGGCCGCGGCGTTCGTGGCTGCTGCGTCCCTCGTGCTGGTGCGCCCCCGCCCCCATTGGCGCTCCTACTGCCCTTTTGCGTCACCCTGCCTGCTGCTTGCGGGAATGGATGCGATCGCTGGTGCCTGCGGGACGCCAGCATCCGATCCTTCAACCGCTGCCCCTGATTCCCGATTCTCATTCATTTTTCAGCCAAGCGCTGCCCTCAAGATTCCCCAGGCCCACCTGAACCCCCAACCACCGCCAACAACAATATCCTCCCTGCCCCCTTGCACCTGAATCCTGCCGCGCAGGGCCAGCCCAGCCAGGCGTTTGACGCGCTGCCCGAGGGTGAGAGCTCGATGCGCCCGCAGCGCTTCAGGCGCTGCGCGCATGGAAACGCGGCCGGAGCCGCTGCATGCGCATGCGCCCCTGTCGAGCCTGCTGGCATGCCTTCTTTGCACTTGAATCCATTTGTGCATATGCGTGCCCATGCGCATGCACACATGCATGCACGTGCGCATGCGCATGCGCATGTGCATGTGCATGTGCATGCAAGTGTGTGTGTGCTCCGCGGGCTCGCTCGCTTGCATCGAGCATTCTTGCTGTGACAGAGCACATGCCCCTGCCGACGAGCCAGGCCAGCAGTGTCCAGCAGCCCGCATGCGGCCCCAGTCGCAGCCCCCAATCGCTGTCATGCCCCGATGCTTTTCACGCCTTGCACCATCATTGCCC